GGCATGGCAGATTCTAGATCAAATTCCTGGAAGAGCAACTGGTGCATACAGTCATAGTCAGGTAATGATCCCGTACAGAATTTTGTAAAACTTATGCAGAACTCATAAGTGATATGTCATATGATTCACGGCCCCTCTTCGCCCACTTTGGCATCAGGGTATCAAGGGTTTACGTGATACAATTGCTGCTGGAATTGAAGCTCGTGACGGATATCCTGCTGATCCAAATGATATTTTCTTAACAGATGGTGCAAGCCCTGCGGTATGTCCTGACTTCCATTCTGTTCAATTTTAGTGACGTCCCAATGTTCCTGAATATGTTAAGTTGCACATCGCACCACTCATAACACATCATGTCCATTTCTCTCTTGCCAGGTCCATATGATGATGCAATTGCTGATAAGCTCAGAGCAGGATGGGATTCTTTGTCCCATTCCTCAATACCCTTTGTACTCTGCTTCAATTGCCCTCCACGGTGGTACACTGGTATGTCTGGATTTTAAGAGATTTATTCAGATGCTCAATGTCAATAAATATAAAATGTTTGGCATTTATACTCGAGCACTAACTTGTTATTGGATAAAGCTCGAGTTTTTATTGAACTGAATAGTGAATTGCCTGATTATTTAAAAAAAGGACGTTACATGACTGCCAGAAACTAGAAGTTGGAAAATAATTCTCTTTTATATACCATTTAACGTTGTAAGAACATTCAAATCTGTGGTCCGATGTATGCAGGTTCCTTACTTCCTTGATGAGGCATCAGGGTGGGGATTGGAAACTTCTGAGTTGAAGAAGCAATTGGAGGACGCAAGGTCCAAGGGTATCAACCCAAGGGCCTTGGTTGTTATAAATCCAGGCAACCCAACAGGGCAGGTAAGCTATGAATTGCTTTTTGACCTTCAAAATCCTTGTCGACAAAAGAGTTTTCTCAAGGGGTTGCTATTGGAAGAGAAGCTTGTGCTTAATCTAGAATAGTCATTGGTTGAGTGTTTTGGTATCTTGTCTGCAGGTGCTTGCTGAGGACAACCAGCGGCAGATTGTGGAATTCTGCAAGCAAGAAGGTCTTGTTTTGCTGGCAGATGAGGTAGACGGATTGTTCTTTGGATAATTAACTTCAATTACTTTGCAACATTGTTGGAGCATTGTAATTGTCATCAGAAACTTCTATAGGTACTTTATGGGCTAATATTTTCAGTGTATTTTATACAGGTTTATCAAGAAAATGTTTATGTACCTGATAAGGAGTTTCATTCATTCAAGAAGGTATCCCGGTCTATGGGATATGGCGAAAAGGATATTTCTCTGATATCATTTCAATCAGTATCTAAAGGTAATTTGTTGGGTTCTTATGCTGTCATGGTGGAAAGAGAGTAGCTCATGAAAATCAATGAATTTGGGACAATTTATCATTGTTTCTTTTTTGGATGTAGGGTACTACGGGGAGTGTGGAAAAAGAGGCGGTTACATGGAAGTAACTGGTATCAGTCCTGACGTAAGGGAACAAATATACAAAGTGGCGTCTGTGAATCTTTGTTCTAACATCTCTGGTCAAATTCTTGCAAGCCTTGTCATGAGTCCACCAAAGGTCATTTTTCTCTCTTTAAAAAATGTTGTATTTACTTGTTTCATAGAAATTTACAATGGGTTTAGAATTGAGGATCAAACATGCTCAAGTATCTTAAAGTAGGTTAAAATGTTGGAACCTCCGAAGTGGAAACAGGCATCTTCTAGTTTGAAACCAGTCGGCATTCACTTGTGATAGTTTTGAGGCTTTTTTAGTTAGTTGGACTAATAAATTTTCAAACATCTAAGTCAGAATTGATTTGACCGTGTTCACTAGTGCTTCTGTTAGTGTACAATTGGGGCTTTGGAGGAGTACATTTTTCTTTGTTATTGCCCTTAACTTCGTTACACAGGGCATAAGGATTTGGAAACTTGGTCTTAAAATTGGTAGATCGAATACGTTTATTTTCTTTGATATTATCATCTGGATCATTTTTCCCACGGAGGAAGTTTCATGGTTGAATGCAGGTTGGAGATGAATCCTATGAATTGTATTGTGCAGAGAAAGATGGAATCCTGTCCTCCCTAGCAAGGCGTGCAAAGGTTAGTACTTATTAGTATGAAATGGTAAACACAATAACATGATATTATTTTCTGTTGATCTTTCTTAATAGCAGGACTGATTATGCTTCATTTCTCCCATATTTTGTTTTTATTCTATTAATTGTATTTTTTTAAACAGACTTTAGAAGATGCGTTGAACAACTTAGAGGGTGTGACATGCAACAGAGCAGAAGGGGCAATGTATCTCTTTCCCCGCATAAACCTACCTCAAAAGGCAATTAAAGCAGCAGAGGCAGCAAATACAGCTCCAGATGCATTCTATTGTCGCCGCCTTCTCAATGCCACAGGAATCGTGGTTGTTCCTGGTTCTGGTTTCGGGCAGGTTAGTTTTATCTAATTCTTTCTGGTACTGTTTCTTAGTGTGTCAGGAAATGGTTGCTGACCTAAATTGGAAATAATTTGCAGCAGATCAAGTGGTCATACAATATTATTTGTTTGGCATCTATAATTCTAATAAGCAATGATAAGTGAACCACATTCATAACAGTGGAATGTTTAAATCTTTAGTGTGCTAGGGGATGAAAAATATGGTCCCGTAAAAGTTGGTGATTGAATAGGATCACATTTAGTTAAACAAAAATATGAAGTGTAGACAAATCCTTAATTTTGTTGTTTACGATTCTGTGAACGTCAGTAAGATAGTGTGAGATATACTTTGGTTTGATTTTTCATAATTTTATTTTAAACTGAAGATTGTTTACATTTCAATCCACTGTGACAGGTTCCTGGCACCTGGCATTTTAGGTGCACAATATTGCCTCAAGAGGATAAAATTCCAGCCATCGTCACCCGTCTGACAGACTTCCACAAGTCATTCATGGACGAGTTTCGCAACTAGAAAATTCCCAGTTTGGTCTTTCAGGATAAGCGATGTAGTGGGCATTCATTTAAAGGAGACGAACATTTGTGTGAAGCCCCTATGATCCTTTATTTTTGTGGAGGATAGACATGTTTGGGTACAGTCTTACTAGACGTGATGAGAATAATATCTTTTCTTACAAGGCTTAAGGTTTGAATGGCATCAAGTTGTGCAATTGTTTTTATTTATTTATTGGTTTTGTTTGGATTTAAGCAGCAGCACCACCCTCAAAATTGACCCTGTTCTACCAAGCATTGGTTGCAAATAACATAAAGTATATCAACAAATAAAAAGGATTAAACTTTGGCCCTTTTATTTTATTTTATGGAATTTGAAATGCTGCAACTGTACATGGTTTAAGGAATTTGGCAGGCCAGGGAACATTTTCTGTTGCCCGTGTAATTGTGGATGGATTCAGAGAGTTTCTCATGGCCGCACATTGCTTTCAAAGCCAAGGCCAAGAGTGGTGGTTGGTGATTGGTCTCTTTCATCTTCCATGATTATATTCACTTAGGTGGCAATCTTCAAAATTCAAGGGTTGCTTAAAACATCTCATCTTCTATTAAAACATCACAGCTTTGCCACGGGGAGTGGAAAATGACATTGAAGTTGCTTGTATTAAAATTAAAATTTAAAAAAATAAAAAATCACGTCTTTAAAGTTGAATTGTTTTCTTCTTTGGTTTTTCTGCAATTTTTTTTTGGGGGGGTGGGGCTAGAGGAGTTTACTTATGGCTATGAATGCTATTATTGACTCATTAGCCTTTATACAAACCAATTAAATGGTACAGGTCTTTACCACCATTATATGACTTTTCCAGAGGCTCTGCTCATTGCATCCAAATTATAATGCCCCACTGTTTTCTGGTGTTGATCTTAGTCAGACTCTATTATGGATTCCATGTGGTCCAACAAATACCACCAACCAACAATCCATACAATTTTACACCAAAAAAACTTCCCTAAGAACTTTAAGAGTCGCTGCCTTTTGCAAGAGTGACAAGAGGACCAACTTTTGCCAACTGTTGGACACATTTTGATGTTCAAAAGTTGATATAATAGTTGGTGGGTGATATAAAA